TTCTCGGATGAAGGAAGGTTCGTGCATATCCTCTGATGAAGGGTAGAGGTAAAAAAGAAGTGACCAGGCTCGGTCCCATGCTTAGATATATTATAAGTAAGCAGAAGGTCGGCAAAGGTCAAATCCAGAGCCTCTAATTTCCGGCGCACCAACAGTGCCGAAAGGATGCGAAAGAAATTAGGATTTACCTGAAGGGGGGCAAGACCTAACTTGTTGAAAACTAAATAATAGAAGGGGTGAAGAGGGAACCGGAGGGCGCTAAGATGCCCGACCGAAAGAAGCAACTCACTCTCTTCAATTCCCTCGCCGAAGGTAAAATCGGCACCCTCGGGATATTCTACAATTTCTACTCCCTCAGGAATATCAAATTCTTTCATTACCGAAGCAACAGAGAACTTGATGCGGTGAATAGAGATGATTGCTTTCCTCTCTTCATGAGTAAGAGCATTATCAGAGCCTGAGGTGGATGTCTCGGCTGGAAGGGGGGAAGTACCTAATTGATTCAACGAAAGACGATCTGTAGAAACCCTAGGAGGGGGAACCCTAATGCGAACGGGTGAAGATGAAGGTGTGGATTCAGAATCCCCAATGTCTATACGTTCGGGAGTAGATGAAGTACTCATAATGAAAGATTGAAGAGAAAGATGCGAAAAAAAACTAACCTGACAAGGCGATGGAATGAAGAACGCAGGAGTGCAGCGAAGGCGAATGTAACTCTTGCAGAATCTTGTACGACGGAGTAATAATGAAAGTCCTCGAACCATCTCTGAAGCAAAGTAAAAAACCGGTTCCAATTCCCTCTTTAATGGGAGCCGTCACTCAATTAAAAATGAAATTTGGGACAAAGTGTGGAGGGAAAAAAACTCCCTCCAATAAGAAGCGTACACGTCATCACTACACATATCTACATTCCAAGGACATATGAGGCCCGTCATGCTCAAGCCCAAATTGAGTGTATTTTTAGCCCAAGACCATTGTTATTTGTCTTCTAACCTCCATCAAGGCCGAATCAAGAGGTCATCAGCCCAACTTGTTAATATTTAACATCCGGTCCGTTATTCAAGCCCAGCCGGATCAAAGTATGTTCAGCCCAGTTATTCAAGAATGCACAAGTCCTACCAGTTGAAGGATTTACCATAGAAGGAAAATTCTGAGATAGGAAGTTCTGTACAAGGCAAGTTCTATGTATGGAAAATTAGACAATGGAAAGAACTCTATTAGTAAAGAATGTTTATATAGAAAGAATTGGAGGACAAGCAACGCGAGTCCTACCATAATTTTACAATATTTTGTATATAAATAGAGGCTTAGACCTCCAATAAAGGGATCAAGCAATTCTACGCTTCGACATATATTGTTCTTGTTTATTTTTACTATTGATTGAGTGAGTTGTTTTATTTTTCTTAATCATTATTGGTTGAGCGAAATTTTGCACCTACAGTGGGGTTTTAAGAGAGAAGGAGCATAAGACATACTTCGGCGTTCGGTGGGCCGGCTCCGGTTCCGGCTAGTTCTGCAACACCAGCAGAGGCACCAAAAATGTTTCCATAAAGTTTAAATTAAAAAAAAAAAAAAAAATTTAAAAAAATATAAAAAATTAAAAATAATAATTAATAGGTTCACGGGTCATAACGGGTTGACTTTGTCCCGACCCAACCCGCCCATTTGCCACCCCTACATAAGATATATATATATATATATATTCTCTTTTCTCCCTCCCCCCTCATTTTGATTTTACATTAGGTCTCAAATATTTATATTCTAAAATAAATTCTTCCTTCTTTTTTCTATCCTCCTAATGTTATATTAGGCCTCAAATTTTTATATCCTAAAATAACTTTTTATTTTTCTATTTTCTCTCTCTTTCCTATTTCGGGGCTTCGTTTGGATTGAGGGATTTAGAGAGATTTGGAGAGAAATTGAGCAAATTACAAAAGCAACCTTGAGAGAAGGAGCAAGCTTGGTTGAGAGAAGGGTAAAATGGTAAATTATTTATTCCTTTTTTTTTTTCTTTTCTATCCATCCAAATAAGAATATTGCCCATTCCTTTCTTTTCTCTCATATCCATCCAAACATTAATATTATTATATCTATCATTTCCTTTTTTTTTTTTTTTCTCTTATAATCCTTTTTTTTCTTTTCTCTCATGTGTATCCAAACGAAGCCATCTCAATATGAACGCACTTTTATTCTATTGAAAAACTTGTAAGAGTATTGGATTTGGATTTTCTAAATCAGGTTCTATGGTTGTTTTTCTTTAATTATTTTTTAGTTTCATTAACTTTTGTTATTATAAATGTGTGTGTGTGTATATATATATATATATATATATATATATATATATATATATATTTATATTTTGTTTGTGAGTTGGGATTATTTTTATTTATATTATTGAAAAGGCCACTTTTTATTTTTCCTCTAAGGTTCCAAATTAGATCGAGCCGTGAGATCAAAGGACCTACCATGTGACTTAAAACGGTGATGTTTAGAGACAGTTGACAGTCACTTAAAACTAACTAAAACAATATTTGTCCATTCCTTTAAATAGCTTGTTTTGTTTTTGGAATATCAATCAACCCTCAAAATAAATATTTTGGAATATCAATCAACCCTCAAAATAAATCAACATGATGAAAACTAATTAAAAAAAAATTAAAGAATTTTTAACATAAAAGAACAATGTGTGATTATATATATATTTTGATTCACATATTTACGTAGATATATTAGTTCTTATTCAAATTAGATTTATACATATGAGTTTAGATTTTAGATTTATACAAATGAGATTGGATTAATAGAAAAAAAATTGATGGACAACAAATGTTTCTCTTAATAGAAATCTCATTTTCAAATTTTAAATTCTACGCAAACGAATGTAGCCTTATATACTTCAAACAAAATAATTTACATTTACGTACAACAGCAACCAAATAATCCAATCATGCATCGATATAAGAGCGGGAAAATTTGAAGAAATCACAAACTCATCAATATCAGAAAGGAGGGGGAAAAAAAAATCAAAACGTAAAGAGACCCTAAAAAAAATTGAAGTAGGAATGGAAAATACCATATGGGGATAATTATCTTGATGGACAACCCTAGTGTTCTCGAGCTTAATGTTGAGATATTGGTCAACCGAACGAAGAGTGCCATAGCCATATCGTTCTTTAGTTCAACTGTTACTTCTATGCCCATTATGTCCTTGAGATACGAGAAGAACAAGTGCAACCAAAAAATATTAATTATTTAAGAAAATATTAGATGCAAAATACTACATAAATCCAAAATTTTCTGAAAACCTTGCAAAAAATCTACCATTTTTAATTTTCAGAAAATGTATTTATATAGAACGATTCACGGATCATTACTGAAATACCCTCATATTCATGACAAGGTTACCAACGTAACCAACCCTACAAGTAGATGAATTGGTGTGTTTGGTTGCAGAGGAGAGAGTTTAGGCTGTGACCAATGGAGGAGAATGTTTTTTGTTGCCCTTGACTAGAATTTGAGCTCTTTTTATACTTTCTTAAAATGAATTTGGACCTTACAACATACATGGGACACAACCCAAGACAACAAGCAAATAACATGTGGACTTTTAAATAAGTCCACCAAGTTAAAAGAATTCAAAGAGAATTTTGTTACAAACTTAACGAACATTGAGAAGAGACATCTTCACCATTCACCACCCTAAAGAATTTAGAGATTTGATTCTATTACGATGAGTTGCTGATGGGTATCGGCAACCCTACAAAATTCGGATTCATGGATTTGATTCTTATGAAGCAAACAAATCTGATAACAAGTGTTATACCAAATTCTTTCTTTTCTTACTGTCCGTTTGGTTAGAAATGTATGATGGAGAGTGAAGGTGAAAGTGAAAGAAAGAGAGGTAAAAGAAAGGAAAATCAAATTTTCAACATGTATTTGGTTAGTTTGGATAGCATAGAGAAAATAAAATGATTTACTTACCAAAATTACCCAACTTATTTCAAATATTTAAAAATAAATTAATTTTCTGTTATATGAATCCTCTTTATACCTAATTATTTATATTAATTTTTAACAAATAAATAGTAAAATGATGGATTATTAATAATTTTTATTATTATTTATATTCATATTTAAATTAGAACAAACCAAGGAGGATTGGATTTTAGTTATCAGATTCTTTTTATTTTGTGTTTTAAATAATAATTATTTATATTCATATGTAGTTTATTTATCCTAACATACTCATGTTTTATTGAAATATTAAATATATCTTTTTTGCAAGCCCTCGAAAAAACACTAAATGGCAATATTCTAGAATATCTTTTTTGCAAGCCCTCGAAAAAACACTAAATGGCAATATTCTAGGATAAAAATGATTGCAAAATAACATATTTTATAGTTATTGCATAATAATTTTTTGGTTCATGCATAATTTATCAGTCCATTTTCATATTTTATGAATATGAACCATGCAAAATTTTCAGTAAATAATATGACGACTTTAATTCAATCAATATAATGAATTTATTTCAATCTCTTCTCATATATTTATTGAGATATTGGTAAAAATTAAAAGTAATTTAATTCTACTATTCAATTCTTAATTTATTTTAAAAAATTTTAGGTAACCACAATATTAGATATGATAATCCAAATTATATTTCCCAGAATAACCTATGTGAAAAAATTTGGTGAAAAAACTTTTCTGACGCACCTACTCAACCTCTTGAAATTAGAATTAAAAAAAAAATTAATATAAAAACTAAACATCCTCCAATCCCATCACAAATTTTCATGATTTTAATCTTTCTTTCTCCTTCGGTTTGAATACTCATTTTGGCTCAAGCGCACACTCCCTTGCTTTTTGGCTAAAAAAATCCCATCAACTCCTAACTTCATATGCCGGGAAGGTGCCTGAATCATGCTTGCTCCATCAGCACATATCCCAGATCAAAGACCCTTATCAATTAAAAAACTCAATGCAGGAAGGCAGGGTATACGAAAAGGATGGTGAATGCAAACTACAAGAAGAGACTCACTGTTTCGCATTACAAAGTCGACCAAGTACACCAAGAAAACCACTGAATTTACATTGACAATGAGAAGTTGAGAACTGGAAGAGTGTTTCTAAACCCCCCGAAAAAACTTTCTACTGCAACTATTTCCTTTTGAGCTACAAGAGAGTTACAAGAAAAGGCAGTAGTAGTTTCTACTACAGTCTTTGCTTCACACGCCTTCCATTAACATCACCACCATCAAGGAGAACCTCATTCCCATGCTTGCTGATTATGACAGAGTGCTCACTGTTCCTAGCAACGTGCTCCAACAGTTCAGTCAGTACAGAAGGGCAACTTTCCCTCAAATATTCAAAGCCATCTGTCTGCATCACAGCTGGGGGAAAAAATAAATAGCACATATATCAGCTGATCAGTGACATTCACAGCAGAACCTTGAAATCTTATTAGGTTGATAAAACAACATCAATAAAATCTTAAATTACAAACTTATCAAAAGCATAAAACCGGTAATAAGCTCTTAGTGGTAACAATTGTACACCTTATTCCCACAAATTATAATTATATTAACAGATCATATATACATAGGGAACAACTATTTCATTACTAATATCATGTATATGGACGGGGTTAAAGAAATATATAGTCAAGTCTATAGGACTTGGAACCACCACTCATAATCATAAATAAATTTATGAAAATGAATATCAAACCACTATTAAAAGAGGGAGAAAAGCAAACTGGAGAAGAGCAATGGGTATGGGAAAATGAAATGATTGCAGAGCCAATTCAAGAGGAGGCGTTAAGAAACTTATTACAGTCTATGATGACAAAAGATGAAATGGATTTTTAAAATCTTTACTTAAAATAATTACAGCAAGGATTTTTTTGATAGGTCATTTGTGTACACCCAGAAAGAACTTTATAAGAGGATGTTTCCCATGGCGTCGTATACCAAATAGTACACAAAAAATAGTTAATTTCCTTATTCACTTCCTCTTTAGTACTTCATGAAAAAAATGATGATCCTCAACCGGAAAGAAAATTGCCAAGCTATGATCCCACCAGTCTGCCATTTGCACAGGAAAAAGAATAAGAAAAAGCGGAGGACTGAGAAGAGAAGAACAAGGGCTCCCCTGCGGCAACTTGGTCAATTTCCAGTTATCCAGCTTGAGTGTTGGATTCTTTCTTGAGATTGAGATCTTGTGCCGGGGGTTTCAGCTCGACAGGAAAAAAGGATAAAATGACAGACAAAACCCACAGGCAAAGACACGGGTCTGTAAGTGGAAATGCAATACGATGAGAATAAACGTTCCCATGAGCTGGTATTCAAAAGAGTGTCAAAAAAGGAAGACCAGATGGATAGTCAGGACTGGTTGCATCACTCCTTCGGATTTGCAATCCCCAATGAAAAAACATACCCAAGCATGCATCGTATGAAACTTATAAATCACTCATAAATTCAAATGTTGGTTTTTTCTTTTATAGTCACTCCTAGAATCATATCCAGACAAAATTTTATATTTGAAACCATCTTAACAAATTGGAACCAGCAATTTCTTAAGACAATGACTTGACTGAAACCTTTCACATTAACAAATAAATTTCCCTTAACCCGCCAGAAAATATATAAAAAATAAGTTCAAAAGAATAATTGCAAAGACGAAAATCACCTCTGAGATTTTCAGGCATTGAAACAAATTTCAGACAAACAGATTTCAGCTGGAAACAGTGGTGCTGCTCGGCCAAAGCTAATGTAGTTGCTATAGTGTTTATGGCAACATCCTCACAGAGATTAGACTCACAAAGCAGCCTGAGTCTCTCTAAACCATACCGATCCGAAGCTGCAAGCAGATGCTGAGACATCAATGTAGAAGCCCATTTCGAGTTCAGACCAGTAAGTTCTTCCATGTCAGGTAGCATATCCCAGTAAAAAAAATGAAGCAAAGCCTGCAAAGAACCAAAAACAGAGTAAAGAAAAACATGATAGTCAGATTGCGTTCAAGCAAAAATTCCAAGCAAACTTATCACTTTCCAAGTTGAAATGTACCTTAGCCAGTGAGCCAGGAATCAACCTGAAAGATAAGGTGTGTCTTATATAATAGTAATTACGTAAATAGAACATAGATAGAGAAAGAAGAAGAGTATAGCATCTGCATATTCTGGTGAAAAAGAGATATATTCAACAAGATAATCCTAATGTCACCCTTCCTCTCTAGCATAGTAGTTGTTCTTATATCCTTCTTTGCAATTTTTATTGTTCATCATATCATACTGTATCATAAAATACATTTTAGTTCTTAAATATACTTAAAAAAAAAAAAAAAAAAAGAGAATTAAATAAATGGGAAATGATGTTTCCTGATAAGCAATATCTTATTGGCAAGCACAACATGATAAATGTGTGAAAGATTTGATTCATGGAGAAAATAACCAAAAAATGCATTTGATAACCACAAAAATACTATCAAGACACAATTCTTTGAGAATGGGGGACCCCGGGTGGGAAGAACTCAGAAGTTCCTCCTACCTTTCCAAAATATAACTTTCAAAAAGAGAATATAGAACAAGCCACTTTTATAAACATATTACCAACATCAGGCATAACATCTAAGCTGGGTCAGAATCATGCTCACGTGATAAAGCATGCAGGAAAATCTGCACAAAAGATGGCAAATAAACATGCCATACAGGAACATGCACAACTTGGATAATGAATAAAATAGTAGAAAAAAGAAAGAGTAAATGTACTGAACCTTAAAAACTGGAGCCTCCATGTCTTCGACTTTTATACACTGGGTATTCTGATCCTTCATAGGACCATAAAGTTGAGCCCTGAACACAGGTGAGCGAGCTGCAAGTACCAACTTGTGAGCAGCAAATATTTCTCCATTCACTTCAAAATTTACATCAGTACCTTTCCCACTTTCTAATAGCTTCCCAAAATGTTGACCTATGTCAGACGGTGGCACAGGTATGGAGTAAATCTTAGGACCCTCTGTGCGTGACCTAACAACACCAACACTGCAGTGAACTGAAAGGCAATCATCTTTCAGGTAGTCTGATGTCTCTAAAGCAGTTCGTTTGAAAAACCGCTTATAACCCCTGCAGCATCCAACAATCAAAATCATTATGCTGCGATAGTCATTCATCCATAAAGCACTAACTAATTATTATTTTCATGTATTTAGAATATCATGAATGCATTCAAGGACAAAAACAAAGAATATCTAATAACATTAAATACAACCCAAGAATATCTCATTAAGTTATGTGCAATCGCATGTTTTCAACCATCCGAGATCGAACATGTGAATCATGTTTTTTATTCTGCTTTAAAGTTAAAAATCAATTAGATCAAATGAACATATTATCATATAATCCTCTCTGCAATTCTATTCAAGAAAGAAAATGTTTTGATCATCAATCTTGCATCCTTGTAGGAAGAAAGTCATGTATCTACAAGTTTATGTCAACTCAATAAAACCTAACCCCCAACTATTTGGGTCCTTATAGGGAAGTCATGTATCTAGTCATATATCTACAAGTCTATGTCAACACAATAAAGCTTAACCCCCAACTATTTGGGGTCAAGCACAAAGTCTGTTTCTCCAGTCTCCTCCATCTAAGGTTAACTCAAATCATATAATTTCTTGAATATCTCAATCTACTATAATTTTGGTCTTCCACATTCCCTCCAATTTTGCTCAATTTAAATCAACAGTCACTCTTCCACACCAGTGTAGTCACAATTTTCTCACATATCATCTCAAATAAATCCTAATTACATCGTATCATAAATTTCTTCGTTTTTAATATAATACTTTCTCATCTTACCATATACATCAATGATCCATCTTATTTTCCATATTTCAATTTGTACAACATGTTTTATAACCGCCCGACATGTTGCATCATTAGGAATATTAACTAGTCTAACGATTTTTCTAAATTTATCGTTTATTTATGAGGTATGCATCTATCATACAATACACCACCAGACGCATTTTCCACTTCAAATCCCACTTCATTTATACGAACATCTCCATTCCCTCGCCCTCTGAAAATAGATGAACCAAAATAACAAAATTGTTTATTTTTGGTAATTACTGAATGTTAACATTCACAGCATTCAAATCTGTATTCCTAATTTAACTAAATTTATTTTCGAAACATTCAAATTGTGTCCTACGCATGAATCATACAATACGCAACCAGATGCATTTTCCACTTCAAATCCCACTTCATTTATATGAACATCTCCATTCCCTCGCCCCCTGAAAATCGCTGAACCAAAACAACAAAAATGTTTATTTTTGGTAATTATTGAATGTAAAAATTCACAGCATTCAAATCTATATTCCTAATTTAACTAAATTTATTTTCGGAACATTCAAAATGTGTCCTACTTGTTTTCAATCATCTTAATTCAATGTCCCAATTTAGTATTTATCAATATTTGAGTTTATAAAATCAAAACAATGCCACTTATAAAATAAAAAAAAAAAAAATCAAAACAATGCCATCAGCAAATGCACACCATGAAATATCAATCCTAAATGCATCTTTTCAATTCATTTTTATGACTAAGGCTTCATTTCATAAGTTAAGTGAAAGAAAAAAAGGAAATATGCTTTCAAACATGAATTTGGTTAGAAATAAAATTTTCTAAGGACGTTTGTAGAAAAATTCCACTTCATGGCTTGCATTTCATGAAAGTTACAATGCACCTAAGTTGTCCATATTTAAGTTAATTGAAATAACGTCTAAAAGGATTCGTCTCAAATCGATACTTTTTTGTCCTCTTTTAAAAGTAAAAGTAACGTGAAATTAAATATATAATAACTGTCCCGGACATCAATTTTCTACATAAAAATATGGCAATTCTTTTAAATTATTATGCATAAACCCAATTTATTTTAAAGAAACAAAGAGAAGGCATAATTTTGAGTTCAAACTTAACTTTCCTATGAAATTAAATATTCCTGCAATTTGTTTCTGTTGGGTAGGGGTTTAGGGAAATTAATTGGTTATAGAAAATAACTTTCCCTCAATTTTTTCTTTTTCCAGCCATCCAAACTTCAAAAAAAATTAATTTGAAAAAAAAAAAAAATCTATTTCTCGCACTTCTCACTAGTTTTTGTCTAACCAAACCAAGCTTAATGTAAATGATGTAAACTTATTGCCAAGCCCTAATATGTATATATATATATATATTTAGTATTGCCAAGCCCTAATGTAAGCCTACACTAATTGAAAATTCATTTACTTCTCTTGTAATTGTTTTTGTTGTAATCGCAACTCCATCATTTATGTCCTTTTCCCATTAACATAGCACTTATGACTATTTTCTTCTTTAACGTTATCCAGATCCACGGTATTCCATTGTCTCATTCTATTTCTTCATTAGTTTTGTCGGTAACTAAATAACTTGGCAAAAAAAATAAGTACCTAGATTCCATTGCACTAAAATGAATAACTTCCTTTGCAGACCCCTTCAATACCAGTTCAAATTGATATTCCAACATATTATTCTACTTCCTTTAGTTAATGCTCACTCAGTCCTTTCCTCGTTAATTAACACTGCAATAACAGGTACAACTTCTAATATCACCTTATTCATATATAGTATTAAACTATTCTTTAGCACTTATCAAGCATTTTATTGCTTGTGATAATTGTATTAAATAATTGATTATAAAAGATACATCATTACCCCTAAACACTTCTAAATCGTAATAGAAATGAAATCGAGTACCATAACCTTCTTGTTTTCATCTTTCTTGACACATTTTTCACCATGTATAGCCCAATACTACCTATGAAAAAGAATTCTCTCACTAAAGTTACTATGTTTTAAGCTTCTTATATTTTTTTTTCAATCATTCCCAAAACTTTGTTTTCCATCCTTCTCAAATTACAACATTTTTTTACCAATACACTTGGATCTTCACTGTTAATGCACTCGATATAATTAAAATCTCTAATTTGCTCTCCTTTAACTTAGTAAACTTGTGTATATTCTCATTCACATCCTTTGTACTTGACTTAATATAAACCAGTAAAACTATAGTGTTAAAATATTAGAAAACGAGAATGCACAATCTTTGTGCCAAAATATATTTGTCTGGAATAAAATGCTTCAGAACAAAAGAAACAAAATTTGGTGCCAAATCCAATCTCGCTTGCAGCTTCCTTTTGGTATAAGTAGAACATAAAAACAATGTATTCAACTAAACAATCTCATTAAAATACATCCCGTCAATTTTTAAGACACCTAAAGAAAAACCTACAAGACTCGTAAACATTCTACTGCTGACTGGAAAAATATCTCCATCAGGAGTGGCTGCTAAACATGTGATGATTTTTAATGGCCAAGTCCAGTTTAAAGGAAGTATGCAGTTGCATCCTCATAAATAAATTGCAATCAAGCTACTCATATACATTGACAGTTCCTGTGAGGGCAACTTTGAACAATAATGAGGTTTAAAAAATTCAATAATATTTTAACTTAACTATAGATTGATAATATTTTTCTAAAATAAATTCACAATTGTCCATGTTTTTAAATGTTGCAACGCTGCTACATATACTACCAAGGGTAGTAGTAACTCAGTGGTATCTCCTCTACCTTTCAAAGTGAAAGATTCTGGGTTCAAGTCTCCACAAGGGTAAAATGTGTGTTGGGGGCCGCAGATCAACACTGCTAATTTTGTATTTCTCAATCTCTACATGACAGTCCTAACTAGTAGAATCAACGGCAAGGTCACAAGCACATAAACTAATAAATAGATTGTCTTTTTTCATCTCAACCATAAATTTATTTAATTATTCAAAGAGAGAGCCGTGGATGATGGAGGGAGGGATAGGAGACTAGAGATGATGGAGTACTTGCCTGCTGTTTTATGTGCATAGGCGCGAGTGAGAGAAGAAAAAAAAAAGAAGCAATGGGGTAAAAGATTAGAGTTATGGTGGCATTTATATAAACACTAAAGATTTTATAGGTATAAATAGGATTATTTAAAAAACCAATGGGGGCCTGGGCCTCGCTAAGGTCCGACCCTGCTCATATAGCCGGCACTCCAGCTTGTTTAACATGTTAATCATAATTTGTAATGGCCAAATCCTGTGCAATGAAAGTATGCAGACACATCAGCATAAAGTTATAAACAAAATGGTATCAAGCTATTTAATATAGCCAACAATCCAGTTTGTCACTAGATAGCCAAGCACACAAAAGATGATGTTTAAGGCCATTACTTGATTCGAAGATACATACTTGGACTGCCAAGCATGACAAAGAAGATTCAAGTCCGAGAACAGCCATTTTATACAAATAATGCCAAAAGTTGAGTCAACATACTGTATAGGGTGTACACCTCTCAGCGCCTTGCATTGGCAGGACCAAGACTGAAAAATAGACTTCATCACCTAGTGGACAAAGCTATCGGTAATAAAAATAAATGAAAACACAAATAAGGACAAAAAATAATGATGATATACTAAGTGATGTATCGACAAATGAATCATTATTGTTACCAATCAGCTTGCCCAAAATTCAATGTGTTCATACTATCTAAGACTAACTGCTAGGACAAACACTACCCTTAATGTGCAAATGAAAGACGAAAACCCATACAAAACTCTACACTTTTAGTTGTTCATCCATCCTCCAAACTGTTGGTTTCTTTCTTTACAGATAGCCAAGACCTGGCGACAAAAATCTACCCATATTAAATAAAAGCTTATCTCAGACTGTGCTCAAAGCTTTGTAGCTTTAAATTATCTAGAACTTATAAAAGGACATTAAACTTTGAATAGATCACATTGGAACCATCATGAACTTCCCAATTACGAATGGAAACAAGCCCAGCTTTAGACTCAGGCCACTCAACAAGTTTCTCAAACAAGCTCCCAAATGAAGCTTGGACCCAACTGAGTTGAGCCAATGCCATTAATTATTAAATCAGTTATTCTGCAACCAAATAATTAATCACATAAGCTCCACTTTGAACATGCGTGATGTTAAGTCTAAAACTTATGGCAAGATATTGGAAAATGTGATACTGCAATCATGCCCTTAATTTTTTTTATTTTTTATAAGTCAATCATGCCCTTAAATAAAAAGGCATTACTTAGTGTGTGTCCCCTAAACATAATGCTGGTGGGGATAAACGGTAGAAAAACCTAACCTTTCAGTTTTTTGCAGTCATTGCTCTCATACTCAAAACACAAGTCCTCACTTGTCATAGTTGATACCTTCGAAATAGCCCACAAATGGTATAAAAATAATAATAATACAGTTAAGAATGAGTTCCACATTCATTTAACCCCCAAAAACTATCATTATAAATGAATTAATGATTATATAAAAGAAAAATCAAGTCAAAAGGTCTCCCTCTCTCAACTGATCACAATAACAACATGCAATAGCAGTGTCTTCTCTTAATCTTTGTGTTACCTCACTAAAACAAGGCCAAAGGACTAAAGAAACAACCAACCCCTCTTTGAAAGTTGAGATTAATTTAATCCATACAATCAAATTAATTATTTGCAAGTGTAAATTAGGAGGGGAAAAAATCTTTTTCCCAAATCGTTTATCAGGGAAAAAAAAAATCCAAAAATTCCAGCCCGTAAACACTCACAAGACAATCAACTTCTTATTGTTAATATATAGATAAAAGGCTGCAAATAAGCTAACACGGAAATCAATCTTAGTTGACAGATGCCCACATGAAATTAGCCAAAATAATGAATCAATTATCAAATTTAGATGAAAGCTATGCAAATAAAATAAACCTGATTCACCTGAAGTTAATCTCAGTAGTCAGAATAACAAGCAATTCTTGTTATTTTGTTAAATTTCAAGTGGTAAATACAAATAATAATAACAACAAAAAAAAGGTAATGTAACAGTAACGATGATAATTCAAATCAACATCAATCCAACAAATGCATAATTCAACGTAAAGCATTCCAAATTTGAGAACCCAAAACCCTAATTCTTACCACATGCTTCCACGATATTTAAGAGTGTATGGCCCGCTCTCCAACGCCCTCCCAAAATGGCTATGCACCTTATGCTTTTCGTTTCCGCTTTGATCCAAAAGGGTAAGTTCAAAGAGGGCCCTCACATCCGTTCCCTCGCTGGCTAGGGCAATGAACAGGGAAACGTACGTAGAATTATCCTCGACGCTCTTTCCATCCGGGTAGAAGTAGATCGCCCACGCGTAGCCACCGACCATAAATGTATCAGATGCCATGTACTTACCGATCCCCATCCCCTTCGAAAGGGAGTAACCATCGATCTTAAATTGATGCGAACCATTCACAGTTTCGCTGATGGATGACGATGTCGTGACCGGAGGTGATGAAAGAGAAGAAGATGTCGAGGGCTTCAAGGTTTCCCTGTTAAACCTTCCCATGCCCATATACAATAAACGAATGCTTGGCTCTACAATTTCTAAAGTGTCCAAACCAAATGAGAACTTAGAACTCGAATTTGGATTAATCCAATTAAATGAAATTCGTAGACGAACAATGCGAAGAGCGATCAGATCTAGGGTTTGTAAGCGAGAATGAAAGAAATTGGACTGGCTTGGACTTCGAACTGGGTCTCTCAGCGACGGTTACTCTGGAAACTACGTAAATGGTTGCGTTGGGAGTAAATCTAGGTTTTTTGTTAACGAGAAATCTGCGATTCTCGAGGATGCCTTTCTAGGGTTTCTTTGTAGAGAGCAGAAGAATAAATATAACACGATCTCTCTAGAGAGAGGGGAGGAGGAAGTGAACGTTGGGTGAAGGAGTTTTCGGCCTTTAAATAGTCGTAACTCTGGCACAGTTTCTAATGGTGACGCAATATAATAACGTTGACAGAGTTTTGTAAAGGGAAGGTTGGTTGAGTAATTTCGTAGAAAGCGGAAATATTCAGACAGTCTGCACTAAAAACGTCATACAATCAGATGGCCTGATTGGAAATCAATTGGATGACGTGTCAGATCAGACGCTTTAAATCATCTATCAAAACGTTCAAGTGCGCGCAATAATTGGACAAAACTATAAAAATAATGAACAGGATTAATAACAACAACTGACCATTCTAGTTGAGAATACTTAAGTAATCTCTCAATGTAATAAAGAGCATTTACTTAGTTGTGCATTATTTTTATTATGCAATTTAAGTTTAAAAATGATTAGACTACTTCTTTTTTTTTTTTACATAAAAAACAAAATAAAAGGGATTTGGAAGTTTCCCATTGAAAAGCTAAAACGTAAATTTGAAGGTTCATAGCTGTTTGCAACTATATTTTTTTAAACACAAATGAATATAAATTTATAGTTTCTTACCTAAATAAATAAAAAAAATTGTTGAGGGTTTACTTTAAAAATTAAGAGTTTATTTTAAAAATTGTAACTCACAAAATTGTGAGTCACATGCTTTTAATTTAAAAAAGAGGAAGTAATAGTTACAAGTAACAAAATTAAGCCAGAAAGTAAGCTTTCTTTATATTTATTTGTTCAAGTTTGACTAATTTCCAAATTTGCATGCAAGTATATTTATAATCTCTTTAAAAAATAAATAAAAAAATCTAAAAGCACAGTGGTTTAGAAATAATAATAATAAGTGTGAAAAGTATAGGTTCAATATAATATATGATAGAAAAAAAAATCTGTTTTTAAAGACCCGCCTCTTATAATTATTTAAAAATAATTTTTTTTTTTAAATTTAAAAAAATTATTTTTAAAATTACAAATAAAATAATTTCTTGTATCAGTCTCAAATAGTTAATTTGTTTTTTTAATTTTAGACAGGGAAAGTATTATTATCATCGCATCTAATTAGTACTATTAGTCTCAAATTATTTTATTTTTATTTTTTTTGTCGGCGTCAATCACGCAAAGCTCCACCAATCGATACAATGGGTCCCATTATAAGAAGACTGGAATAGTTACTATGTCATCCTCAAGTAAAAGAATCACATAATTTAAGTAAGATATGATCAAGCCAAACAAGACCGAGCCATATTAACGGTTGAGATTGTCTAATAAAAGGAGAAATAAAATGTTATCGTGGAAGAAATTACACGGGAATTTACCCAAATCCCGAAAGGGTCCAACAAGAACAACTGGAGAGTGGCGACATTTTTGTCCAGATTCAGAATCCCAACCCTCTCCAGCCACAGATTCCAAAAGGCCAGAAAGTTTTTCTCTCTTATCTCCATCACTTATCAACCCAATTGGGATCACATAGATCCCAATTTCTGATGTCCCTGTCGCATTTTTGTGTTCTACCCAAAACCCTAAAATTGTAGTGATAAAATCGGAGGTCCAAGGGTGGATAAAATAAGTTCAAGATGTTGTGATCCTCACACAACAAAAGAGAGATTGGCGACAGAAACTTATATTTTCTGGAACTAGGTTTCTCTCAGAAATGGCTGATTATTTGATGGCCTCTCATGGTTACCCTCCTGGGCTTGTTTTCCACCAGCAACAAGGCTCATGTAGAGTCTCTAAGGTAAATGATCGATTAGTTTACATGTTTGTTTTTATTAGGGAACTGGATCGGAAGAAAGATTGGAATTTTTTTTGTGTTTATCAATTTGGGTTGCTGAGATTTATTGTAGTTTTAATTAAGTCTTATTGGCTTAACTTGTTGGTTGTGATTTGGCATCTGCTTTTCGTGTTTTTGCTGGATAATCGAGTTTATGTTTCATATCATGTTATATGATTTGGATTGATGAGACCTATTCTTTTCCTTTTTTTCTTTGATCCATGTTTTGGTGATCTGGGATGTTGATCTATGTTATAATTATGCGACTTATTTATAGTTAAAATTCACACTCTCTGAATCACGAGTTAGTGGGTATTTTTGTCTACATATGTAGTGTTTGCTTTTACTAGTCTTTTGGTTTTGGTTGTTAGTTTGATTTTTATCTTTATCTTGTTATTAATTTTGTTGTTGTTTATTGAAGTTTAAAGAGTAGTGAATTTGATTGTTCTATTACTTTGTTAAAGGTCAAGCTTATGTTTGCATCAAATTGAAGTTTCCTAGTGTCCATACACATTATTTTTGGTTGTATCTTTCTTTTCTTTTTTTCCCAGATGGGTAGGTTTTTGGTTATAATTGATGGAAGAATAGGCAGTTTTTGATGATTTTAGTTTCTGCTTCATATGATAATCTGTTAGTTAGTGTTAAGGTTAAGAACTTAGGCCTGCTTGTGTTTTCTTTTGTGTATGATATTTTGCAATTACATTTCCCTCACCTCAAAGGTGGGTCTTATACTTTCTGTTTCCTTATTATTTGTGACCCTGTCCCCAATTTTATAACTTGGGTGTTAGACATGCTTCTTAGTTCTTATTATACTCTTGTGGATATGAAAACATTGATTCCTTATATATTCGATATTTCTAATGTTGTTTCTGCCAATAATTTTTGTCACTGGTCAGGTTGTTGTTTTTATACCTTTGCAGCTTATAGTACTGAACCAGTACTCTTAATTTCATATCAATTTTGCTGGCTTTGTTAATTTTAGCCATGTTTTGTAGCTTTCAAGCTATTTATTAATTGTATTTATATCTTTAAATTTGAAATTGGTTCACATAATATTGTAGACTATAGATATTGTTATCAGTTTCCTGGATTTCATTGTTATAATAGCTCAGGCGAGTAGATAAATTGTTTTAAATAATTTGTATAACATCGTGGTAATGATCTGTCCTGGCCTTTATGCTTGAAGTCCATCCATTAGTGACGAATTATTATTAATCTCTGGTCGTCATAGGATTATCAACCTCTCTTGCCATGTCCTGGATCACAAGATATTATGAGACCAAGCTCCTTTAATCTGAGTCTGCGTCAGAGTGAGGAGCCATGGAAACACATAAGTGGATCGTCGGAGGCTAATCAGTTCATCAGGATTGACTCGACTATTAGAAGGCCTGTACTTATTGATGTTAAAGGTTTGTAGATTGCTAATTTTCTTGTTTGTTGCAGTTACTGCTTAAAGATCAATATTAATCTTTATGAACATTTGTCTACCAGTTCGCATTAATTTTATGAAGATTGTGTTTTCAATTTCTTCTTCATTGAGTGTGTTCCATTTCGTTGCAATGAGCCCATTATGTGACATATATAATATATCTTACAACATTCAATTGAGAATTTCATTTCCATTTGTGCATTATGTCTTATGCTTTCTACATTGATTTTAGTTGCACAATCTCTACTAATCTCATATCCCTCCTTATTTTTGCCACAGACACTCACCCGAACTCAATACTCTTTAGCTTCGGGATTGCTCAACAATGCACAAGACATGAAAAGATCTTGCAGTTCCTCATGTCCGGATCAAGTGAAGCAGAAAGAGGTGGATTAGATTTATCTGTACTCTCAGATTTGATGGGGCTTGAAGCATTGACAATTAATATCCATCAACAGCCATATGCTCCTGATCACAGATCTTGGTTTCACTATGCTGGTGCTCAGCCTTCTCTTATTTATCCTAGTAGTGAAGTTTGTTCCCCCAAGCCTCTAGTTGACTTGGTGGGGGATTTGGCCAGTAGTCCAGAAGTTATGCTTCAACGTCAACCAGATGGCCAAGTCTCATTCATGGGTTCTGGGACTGAAATGAAGGATATACTTTCGGTTATTGTGGGTTTATACTTGTCAAAGAACTCAACTACGGGGAGAAAGCAGTCAATGCTGGTCCCACACTTTAATAGGTATGGATACTTCTATGCAGTGAGAATGAACATAGATATGTAATATGTTTTTTTTTTGCATCCATCCTGGTGTGTTAAAATGTTGCGGAGCATGAACTCATTACATGGTTGTATTCGGATGGCAATTGTTGATACTTTTATATGAAATAGACTTGACTGCTAAATGCCTTTTTGGATTGGCCATAATCCGAAATGGATGATATTTTGAAATATATTTATATGGTAGTGGTTTCCTTCATGGATTTTTTTAATTGAATTTTCTGTTATTGACCACCAATTGCCCATCTACTCGATACTGAGTTCATAATACTACTGGAGAACTCCTGAATTTATGGGTTACAGGGTTGTGTATATAGTGGAGGAGCAAAGCTTTTTCTGTGGGTATGATGAACAATAGTATCATCACTATTGCTACGTATCTATTGTCATGCTTCCACCTGTTATTTAATCACATATTGTTATTTATGTGGAATCATGGAGTTGGAACTCTCTCTCTCTCTATCTGATTGACATGTTTATCATCTCTCTTTTAAAGGGAAAGAACTTCCACATTGGAAAATCCTTTACCTGCCATTGCAGACATGTAATTGATTGTAGGTTGTGTTGACAAGGGAATGCCAAACTGTGACGGTTTACCTGCATGTGTAGAATTAACAATTTCAAATCACAAGATTTAAGTCTGTTTCTCCAAATTTCTTTTGACTGCATTCGTGACCATTTTTTACTTCCAAAGAAGCTGTAGATAGAAGCTTTGGGTTTATTGAAGTGAAATTCCTTATATAATATAATTTGGTTTTTTTTTTTGGTAGAATATAGTCTGAAAGTACAATTAATTTTGTATCCTTCATTCAATATGTGCTGTTACAATTTCTTCTTGCTTTATTCTGTTACATTTTCCCATTCAAGTAGACAATCATGGCTGTCTTTTTCTTGTTTAAAATTTATTTTTAGATTTTTGCTTTAAACCTTTGTTATGCATAATATATTTCTAATGCACCTTTCCTTTTATTGAACAGGGTGGATACCAGTGATTTGAGGGATAAAATTCGTGCATCTTCCTTGACTCTTGAAACTGTGAAAGTTGCTCCTCTTAAGAGGTACTTGTTACACCATTGTTTGGAAATCTTTCTTTTTAATTTTTCATTGTTGTGACTCTGTTGCTGGCTGATATGTCTATTAGGGAACTAAATGAAACAAGCAGACATCTTTATTTATTTATTATTATTCACATGGTAAGTTTGTATCCTTTCTTTAGTTTTGGCATGGTGAGAATTTTCATCTAGAGGATTAAGTTTCTATGCGAATGGAAATTATATATTCTTATGAAACAGTTTATAGAGTATTTGATGAAAGCTTTTTGAGGAAAAAATGGAATTAGGAAAACGCTTGATGGAATTTTTATTGCGGTTTGGATGGTAACTGAGTAGTTTGTGAACTAAGTTGTTTCAAAAGATCTTACATACTAGAAAGAAGCCTGATGGAGGAAAAACGCTTATCTATCTGTGTAATAAAAAAGGGGATATTAGAGTTGCATCAACACATGCAACTAATGCATCATACGGTTTAACTTGGATGAGTAATCGGGCAGAGATCAAGACGAGATAATGATACCAAAAATGTTTGATGTGATTTTATGTTGCATGCTTCATATATTGAGACAACCATTCATTGAGGTTTCCTTTAAAATGCCACATTTTTGGCAAATTTGTATGCTTTTGTATTCTTACAATTAGAAGAAATTTCGTACTGACTGGATTGTTACTTGTCCATGCATGCATGAAAAACACTTATCTATGTGTAATAAAAAGGGAAAATTTAAAATCTCACTACTTAATTTTGTATATTTTAAAAAATGCTAACTTTTTCAAACTATTAAGTTTGACTGCTAATTTTTGAAACTAATTGCAAAAGAATATAAAAACATTATTTACATTTTTTCATGGTCCAAAGCACCCCTGCACACTTGTTATTGGCTGCTGACTGATTTTTTTTTAAGAATGCTAGCAGTCACCACGTGTCGGCAGTTGGCTGCTGACTTTAATTATTATTTTTTTTATTTTTATATTTTTCTTTCTGAACAGGGTATTCCCTCTCTACTCTCCCCCTCTTTCTCTCTCTAGACTCCCTATCTTCCCCAATCAAAGCTCGCCGCCGGTGACTTTCCACAAGTAACTACCATATTTGGTGGGAATTAACAGCGGAATCCACTACAACACCACCACTCCTTCACGCCATTCTCATTGTCGCTCTCTCACGCCGAACCTTCACCATCTCTGATCACAACCTCGTTCATTTCGTAGTCCGGCTTCATGGTTTCACCGACGCCGCTTATTCCCACTCAGGATATGCCAACCTCATCTCCTCCGAAGCCTGGGGATCACATCGCCATGCTCATCTCCAACAACTGCACCAACCTCATTTCCACAATCGTCGCCGAGGTTCTCCTCACCACACGTGGCCTATTTTCCCTCGCCACCATTCCGCTGCTTCTCGACCTCAACAAATTCCTCCACCGCCGCCGCCCTCTCCGGCTCCGGCAGCATTTGGATAAAAAAAAGTGTAGAGGGGCGTTTTGGACCATTAAAAACTTTAAATAGTGTTTTTGTATACTTTTGTCATCAGTTTCAAAAAGTTAGCAATCAAACCTAATTGTTTGAAAAAGTGAGCAATAGTTTGAAAAAGTGAGCATTTTTTAAAACATACAAAATTAAGTAGTGAGATTTTAAATTTTCCCTAATAAAAAAGGGGATACTAGAGTTGCATCAACACATACAACTAATTCATCATATGGTGTAACTTGGTTGAGTAGTAGGGCAGAGAGATTAAGCCATGAGCTCATTAGACCAAAAATGATTTTAGTTTTATTGATGTGATTTTCAGTTGCATGCTTCATACATGAGACAACGATTCATTAAGCTTTCCTGTAAAATGCCACATTTTGCACAAATTTGTATGCATTTCCATGCCAACTAATGGGTTACCCTTTTTTACAGTCCTGAGAAAACCAAACTCAAGCCATCATCAAAAAAGAAGACCAATAAGAAAGTAGCAAGGGAGAGGGATCTTTACAGAAAAAATTACTTCCATGCATGTGAAAGCCTTCTATCCATAATGATCAATAAGAAGCGCCATGGCAAAACCACGATACTTGTTCTGAAGAAATCTGGTCCTGAACTACCTCAGTTCCTGACCCAGTTCTCTGCTACCATTGCTGGGACTGGTCTTGCTGTTCTTTTCTCTGTCATCTGTAAAGTAGCTTCTGGGAGGGTACCTCTCTGCACTTCCAGACTTGTTAGTACAGGCTTTGGGTTTGGACTGGTTTGGTTATCTTGGGCATTGAATAAGCTGAGAGATACAATTATTTATATCAGCAAGAATTCAGGAAAATTGGATTTGAAAGAGGAGGAAATGATGTGGAAATTGGACAAAAGTGTAAAAGAAATTTTCTTCAGAGCTGCAACAGTGATGGCAGTGGCAGTATTGAGGTTTGCATGAGTTCAAGGTATGAAAATAGCTTTTCGGGAATATGTGCATAACTGTAAGTGCCCTAGATCAAGCACAGTAGGCTTATGGGGAAGTCATAGGGAAAAAAATAAGACTGTATCTGACCAACAGTCAAATTTTGTGTGTTAATACTTTCTAATTGGGATGTATATTTACCGGAGGATAACTAGGTTGGCTTGTGAGACAAACTCTTTTAACATATAGAAATTGTACATGGATATTGAAGTTTTTATTGTTGTTGTGATTACTAGAGCTTGAGATTTTATAGTTTATTTGAAGAAGTAGGGAGATCTGTTGAAGTACCTCGGAACAAGTTCCTCAATGGTGTAATATTGATTTATTTGGAAGCTATCTCTATAGGAAGAGAGATTATCGGCTAGTTACTACTAGCTTTGACTAGCCTTGTTTTTGTTAGGACTGCAACTTGGGCAGGCTAACCCAGCCCACCCTAACCCCAACCCAGAGATTTTGAAATTTGGATATACAATTTACAAATCGGGTTTATGTTCGGTTTGGGTTTTATCAAAACCTAGACATGTTCGGGTTGGGCTCGAGCCCAACCCGAAACCCAAAATAAAAAATAAAAAAAATAATAAAAAAAGACCTCCTATCTCTCCCGAAACCCAAAATAAAAAATAAATCCGCCGTCGCCGCTGTCGTCCCTCGCCCTCAACTGGTATCCCTCGTTCTCCCTTGCACTAGTCAAAGGTCGGTTCACCACCGCAAACCTCCTTAGCCTCCATCACCTTCTTCTCTATCATCTCCGTTAGCTGTTGCTCTCTCGTTTGCGTCCCTTTGTACTTCGCCATTCCACCCATCCATTCCACCGTCATACACGAACCCGATCTCATGCTTCGCTTGCAGACAGATCTGATTTTTTGAACAATCTGAAATGATATGCCGATATGGGTTTTGAGCTTTTGATTCTTGCAGACAGATCTGAAATATATTTGGCAAATTAAACTTCATAACACGATCTCATCATAGAAGAATTTGACAATGGCATTGAATATCCCCAGTTTTTAGTTTCTCTGTGTAAGGAACACTTGTATTTCAAAACAGAACAAGATTTATGAAATCATGAACTCACTTGATTCCCATCTTGGCAAAGACAAGCTCACACTGGAAAGATTTCCCCTGACCTTTGCCTCCCCAAATACCCAAGATGAGAGGAACCTGTAACAAAATCACATAGTAACACCCAGTGCATGTGGTGCTTATATGAAATCATGAATTTTAACATAGTAACCCAAGATTTCATTGATAAAATGACATATTCAGACAGATCTGAAATGCATGGTATCGTGTTATTTTAAAATCCTGGAGGCAATTTGGGAGGCTGAAACGATTTGCCCTAGAATTTTTTTGTTTTTTTAATAATAATATAATCAAATATAAAATATATATATATAATATAATATAATATATATATATATATATATATATATATTTCCGAAAAAAATAAAATTATTTTTTAAAAAAATCTCAACCCGTCAAACCGACCCGAAGAAAAATCGGATTGGGTTTTGACCATAACCCATGTTGGGTGCAATTCTGGTTGGCCCAACCTAACCCGATTCGAGTTGAGGTTGGGTTGGGACTGGGCTGGGTTGGGCCAGCCTAACTTGCAACCCTAGTTTTTGCTATCAGCTCTTGCCAACACTTTAGGAAGGGTGAGTGTTTATGCCATTTTTAAAAAATGAGCTTTTGAATTCCCAGCCTTTTCTTTATAGAAAATGTGTAGGCATGCTTTTTGCCAAACTAGTACCTCTGGTTTAAAATTCAATTTACAGGTTCGATTTGAACCTGACACAGATCTTAGTTTAGTACGAGGGATGCTTTCACGGTGACTATAATTTAGGGACAACAGTCCTACCTTGACAATTGCCAATGGTTTTCAAAAAAAACAAGCTTTGTAATAACAAGACCGTCATGAATTCATCAGAATTTCGTATTAAATTGACTATGTTGATGAGCTCTTAGTATCAACACCCCTATTTGTTGTTGCTCATAGTCTGTTATAATTGTTTACCGTCGCAAATGTCCCTCTTTTGAGGATTCCGTTTTCAGGGGTGGCTTCTTGCTAACTTGTATAGATTTCTTTGGTACATGTTTGGATTCTCTTTTAGAGAGCAGATTATTGCGACATCTGCTTTGCACCAAGCTAGCTACTCATTTTTTGAGAAATTTTAATTTACACACGCATTTCAAAAGTACGGAACATACGGCCATGCCTTGGGCCATTTTGATCGGAGTTCTCAAACCGTACAAGCAAGTATACCAAGCAGTCTTTCCAAACATAGATGACGCTAGATATACATTGGATTCAATATAAATATATATATATATATATTGTATATTTCATCCTTGCCTTAATCTTGCATATAAAACAATTATACAATTATTGTAAAATCTCATTGAGCAAGTTCGAGCTAATTGCACCGATTTTCCCAAAATCTTAATATGCAGCGCTGGCATTTCAAGCGTGAAAGGTGTGGAGAGAGATTTCTAAGGCAGATTACTGAGCTCCATGATCGGAAATGGTAGTGGAAGAATAGAAAAAAAAAATAGTGGAAGGATTTAAAATTTTCTCCAATTGTATCAGTTTAAACAAAAAAAAAGAAAAGAGAGCAACAAAAAAAAAGAGGGGGGACAAAAATAAAGTGGTAATCATCACACACTTTCACTGGTGCACATATTAACAAAATCCCAAAAAATAGCGTGGGATCTTTTTTAGCTGTGCCAGCCCAACAAACTTTAAAACAGCAAGTTCGTTCACAACAGTTCTGTTTCTAAGTCAAGTACCAGATATTATGTGCTTTCAACCCGTCAGGCAATTCTGGACATCATATATACGTGCAAATTTCATGTAGACCGTCCAAAATTTCTACTTCTGCCTAATTTGAAAAAATAACCAAAACTTCTCCATCAAATTTCACCCCAAGGCACCTGTCTGAAATCAAGTTTGATTTTAGATCATACAAACAATAAATTTTGCAATTGACGAGCAAAGCATTGCCTAAATTGCCAAGTTATGACCCAAAAGGAACTTGTAGCTGCAAAATGGATTTAATCATCTCTTAATCAAAGTTCATTTGACTAAGTATAACAAGTTTTTACCACAGAACATTTGGGCCTGTCAATTAAGCATAATCAAAATCCACTTACATAAATGATCAGCAATGTTTCACAGAACCACAGCTTGGCAAGAAAATTATGCATCAGTGTATGAGAAATGAAAATGTTTCAAAAGCGATAGCATCTCCATACAGACTCTTCTTCAACCTACAGACCTTGTGTTCTTTTCCTTTCACTTCCCCTAAGAGATCTGGCACCAGCATATCTCAGTTTACTACTTTTGAAACTACACCAGCACCAACTGTTCTACCTCCCTCCCTCAAGGCAAATCTTTGTCCTGTCAGATGACAAGGAATAAATTGAGGCCACATTGTTTTCTGATTCTTAACCAACAAAAATCTACCATAAACGTTATCAAGGGAACACAAATTACATTATATTATTATGACAGTTACAAACTGAGAAGTACACAATAACAAAGAAAGATAAAAATGTAATACCAGAGAATGCGAGAAAAGAAACACAAGCAAAAACGAACTGAACATAAAGAGGTACAACAATTCTGTTTTATTTTCAATGATTTTATTATTACTATATTCTTCCTTTTCCCCCTAGGGTATTATAGAATTTCCATTGAGTCACCACGTTACATGTTCATGTTAAGGATTTTCATGCCAATAAAAAGTTATCACCAAAACTTACAGATATAGAGAGATATATACAGTAAAAAAGAAGCACCTTCCTAGGAAATCTGGCAATGCTAATATCTCAGCCCTCGGGTTACGTCAAATCTCACATAAATGCACATTTTGGTTTTAACTTTCACTCACATTTAGAAGAGTTGATCCGCATTTCACTCACACCCCAAAAGTTACTTTTCAGTAGTGCTAGAGTATTTTTTGCAAATAAAATAACAATCCTACCCTTTTGACCTTGTGTTGACTTTGTTTCATGTATAAAATGACATAATTATCCCAAAAGACTTATTTAAATGACCAAAATATCCTAAAATTTATCCTCTCTTCTTCTTCTCTCACTTAAGTATATATAAAATATGGGGAGATTTTTTTGGGACAAAAATATCCTTAACTTAATCTGCCACCTCATTGAAAATATGGACAATTATGTAATTTCAAGATAAAAGAGATTAGACTCGGGAACCTTTTTCTCTCTCATGTTCTCATCATCTCTTCTTCTCTCAAGCCGCCTCTTTTTTTTTTTTTCTTTTTTTTTTTTTTTTCTCACATTTTCTCTCCGATTGCTGCGACCTCCACTGACTTATACTCCTCTCATCGCCACCATTACTGGACAAACTTCTTCTACGCTATTCTGGAACCAACCTCTCCGTCACTGCCGTGAGATGATTTTTCATGTTCAAGAATCGGATCTGATTTCTTCTGATTTGATTTGATTAATTCAATTGATGTTTGGATTCTATTAAAACAGTGAGTGTTTTGTTTGTATGATTTTGTATTTTCAATAACATTCTTCAGTTTATTTGGTGTCAATTTGGTGGTGGTGGAGGTTGGGGGGTGGGAATTGTGGCGGTGGTTGTGGGGGTGATGATGGTGGCAGTGGTTGCAGGGTGGCGTTGTGGGGATGATGATGGTGGTGGTGGTTGCAGGGCGGCATTGTTAATAGTATTCTCCATCTAGTTTATTTTCAGAACATTCTTCAGCATGGTCATGTAAAAATGGATTATTAGGAATGAAATTCTATTGTAATTGAAGACTTCATCTTACCTGAAGTAGATTATGAATTCTTTTTTTTTTTTTTTCATTTTATATATATTTTAAAGTGAGAGAGCTTAAATATTGGGCTTCATTGCATGGGTGTGCCTAATTCTAATGCCATAGAATTGTATTGGGAATCTTCATGTTGTCTTGCCTTGCGTATTTGGTTATACAACCTAATACAAAAAATTGCAATCTTAATTGATTTATATTCTTTTCGGGTTATTGAGGCTGATGTTCAACTAGGTGATTTATGCAATGTTTGTGTGAATAGATAGAGAGAGGAGAGAGAAAGAGAGAGTGATTTGGTGTGTGGGTTTTGTATATTAAATAGCGGCATTTTTGTCATTTAAAAATAAATATATTTGGTATTAAAAGAATGGGGGTAAATGGGTCAATTCGCATGTGTCAGAGTCCAAAAAATAATTTGGGGTGTAATTGAAAGTTAAAACCAAAATGTCCATCTAGGTGAAATTTGACCTAACCTAAGGGGGTGTCAGTGTAATTTGCCCAAAATGAGCACCAAAACTTACAGATATAGAGATATATACAGTAAAAAAGAAGCACCTTCCTAGGAAATCTGGCAATGCTAATATCTCAGTGACCGTAGCAAAATTTACACTCATTGTGATATTCATTTAGGCAATAATATATAGTATCGCCGTGATAAACAAATAAATTATTGTAATTTCAGGGTTATATATATTACTGATTTTTTTTTTTTCTGTTCAATGAATGTTTATTTTTATAAAATGGAGCATAGGATTTAATACGTGTGAAATATCAAAACCTATATCTATATATATATATATTATAAATAAATAAAAACACTAAGTAACTGCAATGGTTCCTTTCCCATATAGATGATGGATGTCCTGATGTTTTCAAGTTAAACATACCTGGTTCAAGAGGAACCGGTGAAATCAGCTCAAAAACAGCAGTCACATTGTCTCCAGGCATAACCATCTTAACATTTTCTGGCAACTCCACCTTACCAGTGATATCTGCAGTCCTCATGTAAAACTGAGGCCTGTAATTGGAGAAGAAAGCAGTATGACGCCCACCTTCATCCTTTGTGAGAACATATATCTCCGCCTCAAACCTCTTGTATGTTTTCACAGTACCAGGTTTGGCAATCACCTGTGTTAAGAGGAGAAGATGGTGATGTGATGATGTGATGTGATATCCTTTTAAGATTTATTTCAATATTCAATGCCAACACTGGGTTTCAGTTTCATCAAATATTTCAAATAGAAGATTCCAACAACCAGATATAAATTATTTTCTAGCTTTATTTCAAAAACTTAAATATAATAGGAGACATGGCATGTAATAGAAAAAAATGGAGAAACGTTGATTAAATTAGTTTTATTTCAAAATATATAATGACTCACTCAAATTTCACATTTCGAAATTTATAGTCAATATGGGATTTCCCTCTATTTTGGAGCCACTAACCTGTCCTCGCTGTATATCTTCTCGTTTTAAGCCACGTAAAAGAAGACCCACATTGTCACCAGCCTGGTCAAATGGAAAATCTTACAATAGTTCATCACCAGCAGAGCATGGTTCACATTCTTAGAAGCTTAATTTTTATTTACATATCAGTCACTTACTTGTCCAAAATCCAAGATTTTCTTGAACATCTCAACGCCAGTCACAGTAGATTTCAGAGGAGCACCCTACAATGAAATATCAATATCAGGATAACCATTCACATTTTGGAGCTTAACAAAAAATATCACAGGAGAACCTTCGGAGAAAGATCGTGAGACGTAATACAATCAGTCACAAGTCACTATTGAAGCTGGTATTCATGATAACTGACAAGCAATAACATAACTGAAATAGGATTTACAAATTCACCTGCATCAAACCCAAAATCTCAACCTCATCCCCAATTTTAATTTTCCCTTGTTCAACACGGCCAGTAGCAACAGTTCCACGTCCCTAAAAAATACAACCAGCAATAAATAAAGCTGACTGACAATAAGCTTCGAGGAAAAACTCTCTTTTACAAACAATGAGAAAGAATTTCACAGGAATACTGGTGAAGAAAACCATCATAAGGTCCATATCAGTTTAACGAATTTATAATTCTGACCTAACTGTTGAAAAATCAGATATCTCAAGACAAAAGCCCAGTTAACTAATTTTCTGTAATAAAAAGCTCATGGCAATTGATTTGGACAAAAGAAAGATAAAAAATTATTTTTTGCAGCAATGTGGTTCCTTGCTTGACGTAGAAAAAATATCAAACGCACATTTAATTACCTGAATTGAGAAAACATCCTCTATTGGCATTAGGAAAGGCTTGTCAAGTTGGCGTACAGGATCAGGAATGTATTCATCTACAGAATCCATTAGTTTTAAAATAGCCTTTTTCCCTATTTCTTCATTCGTGCCCTGTAAAGCGGACAACGCTGAACCTCGGATGATAGGGATTTCATCCCCAGGAAACTTATAGAAGGTAAGAAGCTCTGCCACAATTATATTCTCATGTGAAACACTTTTAAGTGGAAATACGGTATCACCTAATCAAGCAAAAACTGTGCAATAAACAAAATGTAATCAAAAGCAACTTTACCACGAAGCTCCATTTCCACAAGTTCAATTAACTCTGGATCATCAATGGCATCAATTTTATTCAAAAAACACACAAGTGAGGGCACACCAACCTATATAATGCAAGAGAAAAAAAATTAGAAACATAAATGTACTTAATAGTGTAAAAAACATAAAGGCTAAAAATTGCATTCTAAAGCTACTAAAGATAGATACCCACCTGGCGTGCAAGAAGAATATGCTCCTTGGTCTGAGGCATGGGCCCATCAGGGGCTGATACAACCAGGATGCCCCCATCCATTTGGGCAGCTCCAGTAATCATGTTCTGCAAATCAACAAAAATCATCACCAAAGTTGGGTTGTAATGTCCAACAACATCTATAGTAGTGGTGTAGGTTCTGAAGCAATTGATAGTCTGGACATTTTTCCCTTACAGAAAAAAGTAGGAGGCGATTTAAAAGTACTTTTACATTTTGAACTTCCAAAAGTAAGAAATCTAATTTAAAGTCAAATTTCAAATTATACCTAAGTTTAAGAACTAGATAAAGGGTTGTTTAGAAAGGGGAAAAAAAAAAAAAATCAATGTAGGGAATATAAAACTAAACTCTATATAGAAACCGGTGTTGCTCTTCAACTACAATCTTTCCCATGGTTATTAAAGGCTCAACACATAAACCTTATTGAAGTAGGAGACATGTACAATAGAAATGAATAATATATATTAGTATACAAACAATGCACATAAATCTTTTCGATATGCATATGCATTAAATAAATCAAACACCATTATAATTGTGCAACAACAGAAAACAATAATCATGTAATTTTAAACATGTATTATATATTATGATAAAAATCAAGAATAATGCATGGGATGCATTTAATGTAAGTAGTCACGTATGCACGTGAATTCTGCTAAGCATAAACAAAATTACACAATATGATCTATCGAATAAGACCATGATATGATGTAGAGTACATGGATTCACGTTTAAAGAAAAAAAAAATGAAGAACTGATTTAAAAATGAGATCTTGGAGTAAAAAACGCAAGCTTGAGGGCTCCACGTGACCCTGGTTGAAGGGGCTTGACTTGGAGTAGGTTGAGGTGCTCTAATTGAACCTTGATGAGACCAGGGTTTTTTGGAGCGTAGGCACACCTTTAACAACTATGGTCTATACTACATGAGCAATTTAAAAATTATTAAAAAGAAGGCAAGCCTTAAAAAATACAAGCATGTAAAACTTACAAAAAAAAAAAGTCAAGCATGTGAGACCTATTACTATTAGACTTCCTGTTAAAATGTCCACCAAGTTTACACTAGGCTGGTCCATTTGCAATTAGGCAAACACTACAAATATAATTTTCAAGTTACCACATTTATTAATGGCATTATCTTAACATTAATGGATGCACATGTGCATAGGTCAACCAACAAAAAGAAAGAAACAAACAAACAAATAAAACCTCGTTCCTTCTAATTGGGGTCAGCATGGATCTTGTTTTGCCAACCAGGGATACATATTTATATTACGATGAAAAATAAAAAAAATAGGTAACCACAAAAACAAAACAGATATTATTTCATAGTGTGCATCTGATCAGAAGGAACAGAAAACTATACATATATTTAAAAAAAAAAAAAGAAAGGAAAATGTGAAGTAGCTTGTGCCCAAAAAAGAATAACATAAAATAAAGCTGGAATGAAGCTCAAGTGACATCCTTTTCTACAATGCCACTTCTGCATTAGATGCTATAAAATCATTGTGGACAATTGCAAGCATTATGCAACATCAAAACAAAATGTTATTAAGACACTGGAGGTGCCTAAATTCCAGGCTTTGCATGTCCAGCAAAAATTTAGAAAAAAACCATTTGAAGGAAGGAATTCGAAAGGTTAAGGTCTCTAATAAAACCTTTTTTTTTTTTTTTCAGTAAGTAAACTCTAATCAAACTTACAAATGCAATAACCAAAGGAAATGTCTAAGGCATATTTCCTCCCCCCTTTCCTTAACACCCTCCTTCCTTCTCTAAATTGCGCCTTCTCATTTGGACTGAACTCACATGATGATGATGTGCAACAATAATAGTATGTTTACTTTGCAGCAAGACTGTCAATTTTACCGCTTACTTTAACATAATCAGCATGCCCCGGACAGTCTACATGTGCATAATGTCGCTTAGCAGTCTCATACTCCACATGGGCCTGCAACATCAAGTTGAATCGTTTAGTCAAGATGAAAGATACTTTGTGAAGATTAACTTTCTTAAGTCAGCAAGATAGAGACCACGCTAAATTATGGCCTAGCATAAGAGCATGCAATAATCAAGAAAGATAACAATATCCCATGCAATAATCAAGAAAGAGAACAATATCCTAACTGTTGCAATGGTAATTCCCCTCTTTTTCTCTTCAGGGGCCTTGTCTATTTCATCAAAGGCAACAGCCTTGGCTTTCCCTTCTTCTGCTAGCACCTAAACAAGACACACGACCCTATCAGATACCAAGCAAGAACAAAGATATACAAATTACACCACACATAGTTCACTGTAACAATATATTTTGTTGTTAAGAAAAATACCAACAGACATAAATAAAGTACCTTTGTGATTGCAGCAGTCAGTGTAGTCTTCCCATGATCAACATGTCCAATTGTTCCCACATTAACGTGAGGTTTTCTATCCAGGGAAAAAGAAAAAGAAAAAGGACGATATAGAAGATGAGTTTGAATCCAGTTGAAACTCACAAGAATTCAGATATCCTCTTTTTAATTTTTTTCAAACAAAAGTCGAAATTTCCTTCCAACTTTTTTTTTCCTTAAAAAGGAACAACACGACGCTCCTTCAAGAATTTTTTTTTTTTTTTTGGGGAAATCTTGGGCAATCAGAACCTAGGACTTCAGGAGAGTTATCTGAATTCTTGATTAGGATAAATGACCTACCACTTCAGTAAAATTTATAACAAACAATACATATATGTGATAAAAGATAAATATCCCTCTAAGAAAACAAGCTAAACACTAGAGTCTTAAGACAGTTAATGAAATTTCAGCCACCATTATCATAAACCAAAACCACGCAGCGAGCACTCGAGAAACATGAATATAAAAATATTTATACATAAAATTATTTGTGTGTGTGTATATGTATGTGTGAATCGAAGTTTGAACTTACGTCCGAGTAAATGTGGCCATTGATCTCCACGATGGAATGAGAACCGGTGGTCTTTCATTTCCAGAGAGAGATTCGGAAACTGAGAATTGAGTGGAGATTGAACCTCTGCAATATTGGTAGACTTGAGGAGACAGAGAAATGAGTCGTTTGGAATTAGGGTTTCTAAAAGCTACTGAAGCCATGAAATGAAAGTTAAATTAGGGGGAGAGAGAGTAAGCTGAAAATGAATGTAACATGCGGGCGGGGGTTTAGACTTAGAGAACTTTTCGCTCATAGGGTTTTAGAGAGAGAAAGAGAGTAAAAGAAAGGCCGTTCAACAATTCGGGCCGGTTGTTCAGGCTTGTTCCAAGTTTTAATCGGTTTGGGCTGAAATATCTTTTAAGCCTTTTGAGATAGCGTTGGGCTGAAGCGAGAGGATAGTAGCTTCCAATGCAACTTTATATTCATTATAGGAATGGATTTATGAACAGTTTTTAGTTTTTTCAGATTTCAAGCCTACTTGGTTAAGAGAATTTATAAAACAGTTTCCGAAAAACAAAAATTCATAAAACTATTTGGTTGTTTGAATTTTTGAAAATAGTTTTCTAAACTAAGAAAATAAATAAAAATATTATTGTACACTCTTTTATTTCTTTAATTTATGATATTAACTATTAATGTAAATATTCTTAACTTAATAAAAATAACTTCATGTAGCATTGCCTCTGAATGATGCCCACATTTGATTCATCAGATGAGTTCTAAGGGCTCCCATTTGTGGTGCACCACCATCAGATAAATTAAGTGCATTCAGTACACCAATATTTAGTATTAAGACGTGTGTATCCTGCATGGATTGGGATAGAAATATTTAATAAGATGTGTGAATCAAAAGACCCATTCATTCATAAATTGCATTCATTAAAAAAAAAAAAAAACTTTCTATAAAAGAAATTGAATCCAATATCCTAATATTCAAATACAATTTTTTTTTTTCATTAATGGAGATATTATATTGAACCAAAAGATCAAGCATTTAGTTCATTATATTGAACCAAAAGATCAAGCATTTAGTACATACTTAAAGAGAGCATACCCTCCATGAAAAATCAACATGGACTGCCTAACAGACCACTCAAAACAGCAAAGAAGCTTGGACACACACTCTTCACTAATCACTTCCCTTGTTTACAATAAATCACCAAGAACAACCTCCTGTTTACAATATCTTTCTCACACCACAACCACCCAAACTAGCAAGATAAAATGTTGAAGAGACAATATAATTTAGCTTACATGCATACACAATGAATAGAGCTTTGCCTATTGTACATGCTTTTGAAATCAAGAAACTGATGCTTGTGAGGAAATTGTGAAGTTGAAGAATGTTGAAATGAGATCGTGCTTCAGTGTTGAGAATGAGACAATTGCAGAAGGCTTTTGGCCTCAAAGTTCTTCTCTTGATGATGTATGGTGTTCCTTCTTTTAGATCTTTTGCTGAAGCTGAAGAATTTCTCAAACAACTTATGATATCATCTAGTCTCTCAATCATGATTTGAGTGTATACCAATGTTGCCTTTGATCTTCACAGATAGGGCACCAACTAGCTCTCTATTCAAGCTTCAGGTTTAAGAGAGTGGGCTTGATCTTCCAAGTCTTAAGAAATTCTTCAAGCAAAGGCAACAATGGGGTCTATTTATTTTCAAGCTTTATAGAAGAAGGCTTTGTCACTAGTTTATTTTTTGGTCTGTTTCCTTGTATACTTTAAACATCAGTACTTAGTATAGCATGTGGATTTTAGCTAGCATACAACGCATTCTTAGAAATAATTGATTTCTAGTATGGTACCTTCCACAAGTTTTAAATTGTAGACAGGAATGCAGAATTTACACAAATCTATTTTTTCTCCTCATCTCTGAGCCGAAAAAAAGGTACAGTATAAAGAAGAGGGTAAGCAAACTGGTGATGAGATATGTGTTTGGTACTGTGAATTGTTTTGAAGCATTCTAGAATCCAATCTGTTTTCTTTATAGTGATAAGTAGCTATTAAATTTTAAGATACTAAGAGGTTTATATATAGTTTTTAAATTTAATCAATAACCTAATGCTCTCTCTTTTTCCCTAATCCTAATTATCATATAATTTATTCAATTTCAACCACCAAACCTATCATCTACCATTCTTTTAGTACTTTATGCAATTAAACAAATCCTATTGTTATCACACTTGGATGATTACTTAGTGTCGTTAACAATCAAATACTTAAAAAATTACAACAGAAATTCATGTTCATAAACTTGAAAGAGGTCTCTATATACTTTCCACAACTTGGCCAAGTAAATGCCAAACCCAACAAAGAAAGTAAATCAAACATCAGATCAGATAATAGTTCATGCACTCTATTACAAAAGAGAATCACTTTGTTGCAACCGTTTGTTTATTGAAAACCAAAAGCACAAAATATCAGGCACAATAAAGCAACACTTTCTAACAAAATTTACCATAACATCCCACTTGTGCCCTTGAGGAATTGTGTTGCGCATCTGTAGAACTATCCTCGCCAATAGCCAGAACAAACAGCCAATGTTGTGCTTCCCCTTGTTATTAGCAGGTATGCCAATATCAACATACCCCATTGGGGAATCAGTATCACAAAAGGCAATGGTGGGAATGTTCCCAAGAGCAGCTTCTTTAAGAGGCTGCAGCCATTCATTACAACAAATCAAATCAGGATCAAAAAGGGTAAATAGTATTGATTTAAGAACAATAGCACACAAGAATTTTACACTATGAGGACAGTAAACACAGAATAATTCCAATTTCATCAGTTCTAAAATTTTGGGGCTAATTACTAGTTCATTGGCCTATGAAGAAGTGCAGCAGTCTAGACTACACTTAATGCATTTTCCATGTATAAAGAATCAATTCAACAATCAATCACACGATGATGCATGTAAAAAAATTGAAAGAATCACTAACCTGGTGATCAGTTCGTGGATTAGGAAGGATGAGGAGACGAGTGTCACGCCCTGCCTATGGAGGTTGTGCCACGCAGGCGACATGCAGACGCTGAGGAGGACATTGCATGGCAACTACATGGCAAGTGGAGTTTCTAGCGTCTTCCGGAGTAGTCTAGAGTTGTGTGGAAGATTCTAGATATGTGTAGTATATTTTAGAAGTGTGTGGAAGGTTCTAGAATTCTCCAGAATTGTGTAGAGTAGTATGGAGGGTTCTAGAATGTTGTAGATATGTATGGAGATGTGTAAAAGGTGGAAGAAGATTCTAGAGAATCAATCTCCACCGTTGGTTAGAATGCATCCTAGCCATCCATTAGGGATGGGGATGCCTATAAATAGGAGTAGGACTTCATTTTGCAACCAACAAGTCCTAGAGTGAGTCTTGAGAGCCTTGTAGAGAGCTTGAGTGCTAACCTTGTACAAAGCATTCTTTGAAGTAATAGAAATGTTCTTTCCTTACCAACTTAAGTGTCTTAGTGTGTGTGAGTGTGCAAGCCAAGTGAGGAGAGGGCGAGTGCAACTACAACACTAGTAAGCACACAAGGGGAGTGTGTTGGCTAAGGTGTGCACGGGAATTAGGCTGACCAAGTACTTGCGAGAGTGGAAGCAACGTCTTGGTGCCGCACGGGAGCAGCTAGAATAGTGCTGAAACTCTAAGCCCATGACACGAGGCTCACTAAATGAAGTCTGAAGCTGATTAGTAAATGTTCCAGGAGTATGGCGACCAGCAATTACATGAGCACCAGTATATTGGGCAAACTTCAAGACAGCTCTCTGACCATAGGGCCTAACAGACTGAACAATTATGTCATGAGGGTTCTCAATTGCAACAACAACTCTGGCCGCCATATGAAGCTTCTCCCATGTTTTTCCAAGGTTGATTATATGTACTCCTGAACATTGAAATAGAAATGATTAAGCAGGAGGAAAAATGAGATACCCCTCGGATCCGAGACACGGGTTGATCAGGCCCAGGCCCAAACCCGAGAGAATATCAAACAATTAATATTTTATAATGAACACGAAATACAAAATAAATTAAAAAATGAAATTAAAGCTGGAAGGAACTAAAAATAGAATCCGCAAAATATTATAATTATTAAAATCCATCAAACCCAAACTCCAAAACTCCATCAGTTTACAACTTGGGAATCCATCTCTAGTGGACCCCTATTAAATATCCAAACGGAAGATAGAACAACTGTAATAAACGTCCAGAAATAAAACTATAGAGAGAGCCCTACATCGTCGTAAAAATGAATAAAGACCTCTGCTCAGCACGAACACGTCAAAGCCTGGAACTGTCGTGTACCTGAAAAATAGAAGTGGGTCAGGCCCACGCGCAAGTTCTATACTACTACAATCCAAACAGAGGTTCGATACGCATGTACATCCTAAACAATCCAACAATAACTAATAGTCCGTAAATATATATATAGTCACACTAAAGGACTCTCGCTGGACTACAGGCCGGTCTCAACCTGAATAGAGGTAACATGCTAAAACGCACACGAAGTGGGCATATGTACCTATACCTAAACAGGGTACACCTCCAACCATCGTAGCCAGCTACACATCCCGATGCATATACGCTCCCTAGCCATCGGTCCTGAGGCTCAAGCTCATACCGAGGCACCATAACAGTACATATATAAAATCCATCCAAAACCCCTGGTATTGCCGCTCAACAAGTAGTTGCCATGACCATACAAATCCACGGGACTTAACTTTTAGTTAATCCCATGCTTATTCCAAGTAGGTGGGTAATGGTATTGTTTTAAAAACCAAACCCATCCTTAGTATGCCACCGTCCCATACCGGTGCCTACTTTCCAATCCTCCAGTAGTCAATAATACCAAGAAATCAAGTATATATCAACTAAATTCCAACATCCAACATTCAATGTTAGCAGTGATAAAATAAGCATTGATAAACGGGGTCACAACAACAACATATACATGCCCAATTTAAGTTGTTCCCTTTAGTCTGATATAAAGACAGAATTAATTAAAACTTCCATTTAACACCTTACAAATGACATACAAATATGTAGGGTATGTATCACAAAATCCTAACCTCCACAGTTGATACTAACTGTGATAATGTAAGCATCAAAACAATATTCACAGTATGTATGTAGACATGCTCAAGTTATAGTGTTCCACAAAACCGATCTAGTGTTAAACTCAGATCCTCCTAGTATTTAAGTTCCAACAGTTGCTATTACAGAAGTTAAGATAGCTATCATCTAGACCCATCCTTCCAATAATTTATACTAGCAGTGGTAAGGAAAAACGTGAACCACATAACCACAATGCATCCACAAACATGCTTAGTCTAGGTTGAACAAGCATACAACACTACTGTAATTACCAGTTTCATAGCAAAACAGATATCATTTTAGTTTGGTTTACTCTTCATTAATCCTGGAATCATTTAAGAGTGCAAAGAGTATGAAGCCTAAGGGAAAGAGTAAGGATATAATCTTGCCTCAGAAACTTTTGTTCAAAGTTTCAACGTCGTCTTCTTAAAAAATCCCGGCTAGTTCCAAAACCCGGTTACTGTTCACGGGTACGAAACACTATTCCCGAACTCAAAATTTGATCTCCACCGTTCAGATTGTGCGACACTGAGTCATGAACCTATCCTCCAAATTTCAGCTCGATTGGACCACGGACGAAGCAGGATCGGATGTTTGATGAAATCTGGGCAGAATGGAAAAAACCTGTGCGACCTAATTACTGTTCACAAGTACGAATCACTGTTCCCGAGGTCAAACTCTGATCTCCACCGTTCAGATTGTGCGTCACTGAGTCGTGAACCTCTCCTCCAAAATTCAGCTCGATCGGATCACGGACGAAGCGGGATCGGATGTTTGATGAAATCTGGGCAGAATGGAAAAACTGCGTTTTTCCTTCTCCACTTCCACAAAACGTGTGCTTTGTTTAAAAAAAACCCTACACAGACGTCTACCTTATACTTATAGAGTTTTCCTAAACCCTAGGTTCATTTAAGTCCAACTCACAATCCTAACCGGCCCATCCAATTAACGTAGAAACCTACGACGGCTATAATATAAAACCCTAATTTATACTGTAATTAAAACCCTAGTTAGATGTATTTACCTAATTACCCTATTCACCATTAAATACTTAACAAATAATCTAATTGAACAAAATAATAATTAGTAAACTCAATTAAACCAAATAAGACACACATAAAATAAGACACACATAGAATAATTAAACCAATTACACTTAAACCATTAATGCCAATTAAATAATTAAAACACTAACAAGTAATTCCAATCAAATAACTAAACCAATTACACTTAAACCATTAATGCCAATTAAATAATTAAAACACTAACAAGTAATTCCAATCGAATAACTAAAAATAAATATCATTTAAATAAATTAAATCACCACAAAAGAAAACAATTAAGCACCTAATAAAAAAAATAATGATACATAATCAAATAAAATGCACTTAAATAATAAATTAAATACCATTAAATACCAGGAATATCCTTTTTAAAATTAGGGGTATTACATTCTTCCCCCCTAACAAAAGGAATTCCGTCATCGGAATTCACTCTTACCTTCTTCCAATATTTCAGGAAACCGTGAGCGAATGACATCCTCTCGTTCCTAAGTGGACTCAGACTCATTGTGATGACTCCACTGAACACGAATTAAAGGAATAACCTTATTACGAAGAATCTGATCTCGTCGGTCGACAATACGATACGGTGGCTCTAAATAAGTTGCATCCGGCTGCAACGCAATCTCCCCAACATCGATATGCTGATACCGATCCTCATCTCGAAGAAATTTCCGCAACATGGAAACATGAAACACGTTGTGGACGCGATCCAAAGTATCCGGAAGTGCCAACCAATAAGCAACAGCTCCAATGCGATCCGTAATCATGAATGGACCAACAAATCGCGGTGACAACTTCCCTTTCTTCCCAAAGCGCATAACACCCTTCATAGGAGACACTTTGAGTAGAACCTGATCCCCAACCTGAAACTCCAAAGCTCGAGTACGACGATCAGCATAGCTCTTCTGCCTACTTTGGGTAGTACGCATGCGATCTCGAATACAATCTTTTCAGAGGTATCCTTGATGAACTCAGGACCTAAGAATCGATTCTCTCCAACCTCCATCCAACAAACAGGTGACCGACACGGTCGACCGTACAATGCCTTAAATGGTGCCATACCAATAGTCTTCTGGAAACTATTGTTATAAGCAAACTCCACAAGTGGCAAATATTCCTCCCAGTGGCCCTTGAAATCCAGAACACACGACCGAAGCATATCTTCCATAATCTGATTCACTCTCTCAGTCTGTCCGTCAGTCTGAGGATGATAAGCAGTACTAAGGTGTAACTCCGTACCTAAAGCCTGCTGAAAACTCTTCAAAAATCCAGATACAAAGCTCGAATCCCTGTCCGATATAATAGATAATGGAATGCCATGTAGCTTCACAATCTCTGAAATGTAAAGCCTCACCAACTGCTCCGAAGTGTAGTCAGTGCAATTAGGCAAGAAATGAGCTGACTTAGTCAACCTATCCACAATGACCCATATGGAATTATGCCTCTTGAAAGAATTTGGCAACCCTTTCACAAAATCCATAGATATGCTCTCCCATTTCCACTCCGAAATTGGTAGTGGCTGTAGAGCTCCTGGCGGCCTCTGATGATCAATCTTAACCATCTGACAAGTACTACATTGAGAAACAAAAAGAGCAATGTCCCTCTTCATACCTGCTCACCAAAACTGCCGCTTCATATCTTGATACATCTTATCGCCTCCTGGATGAATAGAGAACTCAGAGTGATGAGTCTCAGTCATCACATCCTTCCTCAAATTATCAGCAGAAGGTACCACTAACTGTCCCTTGTACCTTAAACCTCCATCAGCCCCAACATAGTAGAATGGAACCTCTCCGGAAGCTATCTCTGCGACCTTGTCGACACACTGCTGATCGGTGAGTTGTGCCTGTAAAACCTTGCGAATGATGGAAGGTGTAACCACCATGCAAGCCATAAAAGCATCCGATAACTCATCCACACTCTTTAAAGCATTCCACTCAGTAGTGAATAGAGCAGAAAGACTACCAATAGGTCGGCGACTGAGTGCATCCGCCACTACATTCGCTTTCCCTGGATGGTACTATATAGAAAAATGATAGTCTTTTACAAACTCCGACCACCTGCGCTGTTTCATATTTAGCTCCCGCTGAGTGAACAAGTACTGCAGACTCTTGTGATCACTGAATAATCTGAAGGACTCACCCAACAGATAATGCCTCCAAATACGCAAGGCAAAGACCACTGCTGCCAACTCCAAATCATGTGTTGGATAATTAAGCTCATGAGGCTTAAGTTTCCGAGATCCATAAGAAATCGGTCGCTCCTCCTGCATCAATACACATCCAAGACCCTGCAACGAAGCATCCGTGTAAACAAAATACTCTATCCCGCTCTGCGGAGTAGCCAGAATCGGTGCAGAAGTCAGCTTCCTTTTCAGCTCATCAAAAGCTCGCTGACAGTGTTCATCCCACACGAACTGTACACCCTTCTTGGTCAGATGAGTGAGTGGTCTTGCTATCTTGGAGAACCCCTGGATGAATCTCCTGTAATATCATGCCAGACTGAGAAAACTCCGAATCTCAGTAGGTGATGTAGGCTGTCCCCACTTTACCACCGCTGAAACCTTGGCCGGATCCACTGCTATCCCCTTTTCTGACACCACGTGACCCAAAAATTTCACCTCCCGCTGCCAAAATTCACACTTCTCGAACTTGGCATATAACTGGTGCTCACGAAGCGTCTGC